ACCTACTGTTGCCCAGGCTGTAATGCAGTGGCACAATCTTGGCTCACCACAACCTCCATCTCCCAGGTTCAAGCGATTCTCCTGCCTCAGCCTCCTGAGTAGCTGGGATTACAGGTGCACACCACTATGCCCAGCTAATTTTTGTATTTTTAGTAAAGACGGGTTTTCACCATGTTGGTCAGGCTGGACTCAAAACGCCTGCATGATCCACCCGCCTCGGCCTCCCAGAGTGCTGGGATTACAGGCGTGAGCCACCATGCCCGGCATTTTCATATTTCTTTATGTAACACAATAGTTGTATCACACCAATAAAAATATTAACATTTAGGTATATTAAAACAGTATGACATGACATATGGGAATGCCAGAAACCCAGATCTGATCTTAGGGTCGCTTACAGTCCCCTGCTTTTTTTAAACACACAGTTTTGTATCCCTAAAAAGGTAGTTATTCAATTAAATTAGATGCTAAAGATCTGTATTCTGTACATCATCATCACCTTGCCACCTGTCCCAAAGTGGCCTCTGTTGTTAGCCCTCAACTTTCCCTGCTTGACTTGTTGATTTGATTTACAAACAATAGATCGGATGCATTTCCCCTACAAAAGCTCTGTCTGCAATGACCCTCCCTTTCCAGGAAGTGTTAAACATGCTGAAGGAAAGCAAAGCAGACATCTTCGTTGACCCAGTTCTTCATACAGCTTGTGCCCTGGACATTAAACACCACTGTGCAGCCATCACCCCTGGCCGCGGGCGTCGTAAGTCTCTGTGTTCACTCTAATCCTGTCTGAACTCTCTTGGGAAGAGCAAAGACTCCCTCTTAGACATCAGTTGCAGCTACTGTGGTCTGTAGCTATAACCCAGTCACAGACAGCATTCCCAGGGGACCTGAGTGATGCCAAAACTAGGCGTTTGTGGCATCATGAAATTAGGAATAAGCTGCAGGTTTCAACTGACCTAGTCATGACCAGAGCTGAAGATTTGATGAGAAGGGAGAGTTGAGGTATTTATCAGGGAAGCAGGAGTTAAATCATCATCATGGTCCTTTTCTCTACCCAAACCAAAAACCGCTTCATACACTTCCTCAGTGGCCACAGTGGACTCAGTAGATAGGTTCTCTGAGGAGCGAGCCAAAGCAGGTGTGAAAGTTCTTTCTGAGCCACGCATGCCCAAATAAAGCTAAGAGAAGTTATTTGGTTTTGTTTTATTTTTATTTATTTATTTTTTTTTTGAGACAGTCTCTCTGTTGCCCAGGCTGGAGTGTGGTGGCATGATCTTGGCTCACTGCAACCTCCGCCTGCTGGGTTCAAGTGATTTTTCCCATCTCACCCTCCTGAGTAGCTGAGACTGCAGGCACCCCCCACCATGCCTAGCTAATTTTTATATTTTTTAGTAGAGACAGGGTTTTGCCATGTTGGCCAGGGTAGTTTCAAACTCCTGACCACAAGTGATCTACCCACCTCTGCCTCCCAAAGTGCTGGGATTACAGCCATGAGCCTCTGCGCCCAGCCTGTTTTTGTTTTAATGTTTTGAGACAAGGTCTTACTATATTGTAGTCTCAAACTCCTGGGCTCAAGGGACCTTCCTGCCTCAGCCTTCCGAGGCTGAGGATTACAGGGGCTTGCCACCACATCTGGCTCTTAAAAATAAGGAGGTTTGAAGAGAGACTTTGGATGCCAGCCCTGGAGGTTACATGTCATTTCTCTCCATCGTTGGATCCTGGGTCAAGTTTCCTAGTATGTCTTTAACTTTGTTGAACCTACAGATCTGAATCTGGTGGTTGTGGATCCTTTTCCCCAACTTTACAGGAATTTCTCTATTCTGCAGTTTCAGGTCCTTCCTATTACTTGTTTCCTCCCACAGAAATGTCCTGTCTCATGGAAGCACTGGAGGATAAGCGGGTGAGGCTACAACCTGAGTGCAAAAAACGCCTCAATGACCGGATTGAAATGTGGAGTTATGCAGCAAAGGTAAGGACCAAGAAAATCTCCTTTTTAAAAAAAAAAAAAAAAACTATATGGAACACTTCACCAATTTGCATGTCATCCTTGAACAAAGGCCATGCTGCTCTTCTCACTGTGGTTGTCCAGTCTCTTTTAGATATTGTACTGGCCTTATCCGTATCATGAGACTCTCAGTAAGTGTGTTTGAAAACGTGGTCGGTGTGTTTTTAAAATTCTTTGGCTGTCCATGAGCCTGGAGCCGTCTCCCTGTAGGTTGGGCTGTCTGCAAGGCTTTGCCAGGGCCACCCGTTTCTTGCTTCGCCCACGGTTCATAACTGAAAAGTGAGTCACCCAAAGAGAAAAGAGATGTCACACCCATGCAAAAGAAAGAAATCCAGCCTCGCCTGTCTTGAAGCTTGTTTTTACCGTTTTACACAGTCTTTAGGAGAAAAATATGTATGTGAGGCCAGTACTCATCTGGTCTGGAACATGGAGAAGAAGGGGATGAAGAGACTGCAGACCACTCATGAATGTGTATGATACCCAGGCTCTTGGGCTAGGGAAAGTTTTTCGCACAGAGGTTCAGCCTCAGTGAGAAGAATAGCAGTTCTTCTTGTGTATACATTGCTTTGTAGTTGACGTAACACTTTGGTGGACATTTTATCTCATTTGAAACTTGAAACCCTGTGAGGTAAGTAGAATGCCTTCTTCCTCACTCTACGCTGAAGGAAACTGATGTCAGAGGTCATGACTTGCCCAAAGTCCCTCAGGTTTTTAGATCCATGCTTTTGTATCAACTAACATTGGGATAGACATTTGCAGTGACCTAAGATCTAGAGAGTAACTCCAGGACTGCCCCTACTTCTAGCCATTTCTTTTATCATCCATGTACTTCCAAGTCAAGGGGAACAAGGCAAGAGGAACAATCAGAGAAAGTCTTCATAGCTAGACAGCAGGAAGCTGCAGGGCAGGGCTCCTGTATATCACAGTCGTCAGCACTCTCCTCACCCTTCTCCCAAGGGAAGAAAGCCGCCTTTGAAGCCCATGGCTCAGGGAAGCAGCAGCAGGAGATGCTTTGTTAGTTCATTCTCCCTCATTATGTCCACTCCTTTGAGCTGTGTGTTACTGCTTCAGAGTGACTCAGAGTAACTCACAGCTTGTTTTGTGTTGGCAGCTATTGGAGCTCAAATCTCATTCATCTCACTCTTCTCCACTCTGTCTGTGTATATGATATGAGCATAGAAACAGCCCAGATGCCTCTGGGGCAAACCATCTCAGCAGCCGGAATTGGATGCAGAAGAATAGGGGCATGTGCACCTGGGGACCCTTTCGATCCTGATTCTGCCATAGTGGGCTACCATTGAGGTCTGCTGGGGAAAGTAGTGAAAAACTGAGGGTGAAGAGTAGCTGAGGTTAAAGTATAAATGTCCACAAGTGAGGGCAATTAACCGTATTCTGTCAATATAAGTTATGTTTATGGTGTAGTGGCATGAACATGGCTCACTGCAGCCTCGAACTCCTGGGGTCAAATGATCCATTTTGAGTAGCTGGGACCACAGGCCATGCCACCACACTCAGCTACTTTTTAAATTTTTTGTGGAGACGAGATTTTGTTTGTTGTCTAGGCGGGTCTCAGCCTGCACATTGTTTTTGCTGTGGGAAATGCTTATGGTATAATGGTGAGTGAAAAAAGTCGAAATACAGGCTGGGTATGGTGGCTCACACCTCTTAGCCCAGCACCTTGGGAGACTGAGGCAGGAGGATCGCTTGAGCCTAGGAGTTTGAGACCAGCTTGGGCAACATAGGGAGACCACATCTCTACAGAGTTTTGTTTTTTTTCTTGAGATGGTGTTTCACTCTTGTTGCCCAGGCTGGAGTACAGTGGTGCAATCTCAGCTCACTGCAACCTCCACCTCCCAGGTTCAAATGATTCTCCCACCTCAGACTCCCGAGTAGCTGGGATTACAGGTGTGTGTCGCTACACTTGGCTAATTTTTGTATTTTTAGTAGAGATGGGGGTTTCGCCATGTTGACCAGGCTGGTCTCGAACTCTTGACCTCAGGTGATCTGCCTCTGTGGCCTCCAGACCAGAAAAAAAATTGTTTTAATTAGCTAGGCATGGTGGTGCACTTGTAGGCTGAGGTAAGAGGATCCCTTGAGCCCAGGAGTTTGAGGCTGCAGCGAGCTGTGATCACATCACTGTATGCCATCCTGGGCAACAGAGTGAGATCCCAGCTCACTGAAGAAAAAAAAAAAAGCCAAAATATAGAATTTACAAAACGTAGAATATACAAAACAATCTCATCTTTTCTCTTTGTTTTTTAAAGAAAGGCAGCAAACGAAGTTAAAGGACACAAATCAAAAGATAGAAGAACCCATAGCCTTTAACCACGTTCACCCCTGGGCCAGTGATTCTCCATCCAGAGTACAGGAGTGGTGAAAGCTGCCTGCTTGGCTTGGTGTGAGCACTAAATGAGAGAGGGCAGGGGGAGCCCTTTGTCCAAGGCCCAACACATCTTCAGTGTTGTGATGTTAGTGGAGATCACTGTGACGGAATTGTGGGTGACCGCACTACTTTGTATCTTTCTGTATTTCTACTTTTGTGCAGTAGACATGAATATAGTTTTATGATCAGGAAAAAGTTGTAGCTTTGTGTTGATTTTTCTTTTTCTTTTTTTTTTTTTTGAGACGGAGTTTCACACATGTTACCCAGGCTGGAGTGCAATGGCGCGATCTCGGCTCACCG